TGGGTCTTTTTCTCTCTTTGCTCCCTGGCTTATGAAGTAAGGAATTTTATTTTGCCACATCTCTCCCACCATGATGTGCTACTTTGGCATAAGCTATGGGAGCCGTGATCATAGACTGAAACCTCCAAAGCTGTGAGCCCAAAACAACTCTTTTCTCTTTGTAAGTGATCATCTCAGGCATTTTGTTGCAGTAACATAAAGCTAACTAACACAGTGTTTCAGGTGGGGTAGTTTATATTGCTTTATCTTCAAGTTCACTGAGGCTTTTCTCTGTTTGGTTTGCTGATAAACTCATTGCAAGGTTTCTTCATCACTCATACTGAGTGTTTTATTTCCAGCATTTGTGCTTGATTGTCCTTAATAGTTCCATTGCTTTCTGACAATTTCCTATCTGTTCTTGGAAACCCACTTTTTCCCCCCACTATGATCTGATAGTTCCAACATTTTTGTCAACACTAGGGTTTTGTTTTCTTGAGGTAGGTTCTCTCTGTGTTGCTCAGGCTGGTCTTAAATGCACGTGCACAGATGATTGTTCCTCCTCAGCCTTCTGAGTAGCTAGGACAACTGGTGTGCCTCCGCTGTGCCCAGCAGGTCTGGTTCTTTTATCTGGCTCCTTTTATGTCGCAAAAACAGGGTTTTTGGTTTTTCTGGAGGGGGCTGGTAGTGGTGGAGATCACAGCCAGGGCCTTGTGCATGCCAGGCAAACTCTCTACCACTGAACTACCTCCCCAGCCTATAGAAAGCCGTTCCCAGTCCTCATCACAGCCCAGGAAGTTTGTATTTGTAATCTCATGAAAAGTTATTGGAATTCTAGCGAGTTTATTCCAATCTACCACTTCCAGTGCAACCCATGGTGAGAATAAAGATACTAAGGCATATTTGTAATTATGGGGAGCCAAGGGGTCCTAAGTCCAGCCACAGTGATGGCCATCTGGAACAAAGGCCTCAACCCAAAGCTGAACCTGGATTTTATTCATTCATGAAGAAGGGAGTGGCTTGAGGATGAGTGACTGAGAATCATGGGAGGTAGGTGAGTGCCACGAGTTGGGCTAGGTAGGAGGCCTGAAATCACCTCTGCAAATGCAGAGAGAAGGAAATGCGAAAGAGTAATCTGCATAACACAGTTGAGGTAGTATCTAACGTTTTGGGGTCCATGCTTCAGCTCTGATGTGTAATTTTTCAAGCCCCAGGAAAGCAGAGCCTCTATCTTGAGGCTGGATCTCAGCTAACAGCAACACCATGGGGCATTGGCTCAACATCTCACCTCATCCCGGCCTATATGTGGGAATAACGACAGGGGTGGTGGTGGTGGTGTCTGGGGAAACGCACCTGCCATCTTCAAAGACTACCATCAGCACCTCGGCTAGACTGATATGCATTGCTTAAAGCCAATTGAAGGGATAAGGAAAGGGTCCTAGCCAGCTCTGCACAAATCAATACATGGAGATAAGATCAGGCTCAGCCAAAATGGAAACAATTGCTCCTCTTTCAGGGAGAGTTGCCCAGGTGGTCCTCCGCACCTGTCCTTGGTCTTTTCTTTTACTTAATTTTATGTGTGTCTTATAATCTTTGACTACCAGACATTGTGTCTAAAAGAACTGTCATGGTTGAGGTAAATGATACATATTCCTAGAAATGGGCATATTTCTTATTTCTGGCTTCAGTGTAGGGTTCTGAGTCAAGCTAGTCTGCAGTTGCTTTGGCCTTAGGTTCTGTCATTGCTATACTTACCTTCTGTGCACCACAGGCTTCACATCTCTCTAAGGGAACTGCCGCTACTTTATGCTTCCTGTGAGGTCTTGAGCCCTGCAGATACTTTCTCACGATTACTGCTCCACTCAGCCATGCATGCATGCAACACAGAGGGAGTCTCTGTGGGTTCTAGCCCCTTCCTCAAGACAAACTGCTGTTCCTTTTAATGTGGTGCAAGATTTGTGGTAGAGGCAATGGACTCTTGTTTCTCCTGCTCTAGTTTCAGTCTTAGACAGTCCTGACCTCAAGCCCCAAGAGGGGGCTTTGTTTCTGTTCCTCTCCAGTTTCCCACAGCTCTAGTGTTTATTCAGTGTAGGTACTAGATCACAGGAAGACTTCTGTCCCTCCTTCCTTTGGGAGCCAAACTGCCTCACTGGTGGGGAGATCTTGAGTGTGAATGAGATTTCTGAGCTTCTAACAGCAGCAGCAGCAGCAAGGGGAGGAGGTGGAGCCAACACTGCCCCCTGCTTTGTATCAGTGCAGGGTCCTTGGCACTACAGGGTTTCCTGATCCTCGCCAGTGCCAAATAGTTTTTGCTCGGTATCAGTGTAGGGTGTAGGGGGGCTTTCTGCTCCTCCATGGAAGCCGTGGACATTTTCCTGACAGCAGGTTAGGGACCAGTGGGATGCGGGGGGATAGTCTCAAGCAAGGTGCAGATATCTCTCTGCAGCAGCCACCTACCACCTGTACTCCTGCAGGGCCCAGAGCTCAGAGGGGGCTTTCCAGGCCTTCCTTCTCTAGCCTCAAACCTTGGAGGTCCTACATGTCAGTCTGGAGCTTCCCTCAGATCCTGTCCCACCTGTAATCATACTCAATGTCTAGTGAGTGTGGAATTCGCTTGTATCTGGAGCCCTTGGGGATTCTAAACTGCCACTCTAGCCGTTAAGAAATCATTAAGACATAAGTTATTTGCCTCTCATCTACTTTTGTGGCAGCTGCCCCTTCGTCCACACTTTGTCAGAGGACCGACAGTTCGTGTGCTTCATGTATCAACGGTGTTGTCTTCCAATGCCATTACTATTAGAAATCAGTTTAGTTACTAGTTTACCTTGGATCTCAGCTCTCTAAAGGGCTCAAAAATGGATTTTGTACATCATTTGGATTTTTCCATTTTCAAGATGGATTAATATTCTCTTCTGACTCTCTGTGTCCTAGGTGGAAATAGAAATCACTTTAATATGGTTTTTGGACAGTTAAGGAACAAATTTCCTGTTCAGTGTTTCTATTACGACTATATATTAAGCTGTTATGGTTTGTGTCCAGATGTCCCCCCAAAGCCTCAGGCAGTCATGGGGCAGCTTCTAGAGTTTGTGATTGATTCATGATCCAGTGCTGGGATTATGGGTGTGAGTGCTACACCCACCCTGGAGTGGGTAACCTGCATACAGTGTAAAAGTGCAAAGGGGCTTGCTCTCTGCTCCTCCCTTTTTGCTCTTGCTGTCTTCAGCTGTTTCCCTCTGCCATGTGCCACCCTGCTTTGGAGCCAGCTGATTATGGACAGACACCTCCACAAACTGTGAGCTAAATAAGCCAACTTATGTAGCAAGGTTACATTTTCTTTCCTATATAACTTGGTCTTATTGAAGTTGTTTTTTTACTTTTTATTTGTGTGCTTTCTGTAAGACACATCTCAAAATAATTTTTCCATGCGTTCAAACCCACCAATCTACATATTCTTACTTTTTTTTTTTCAAGGTCTCTCTTCTGGAACCTTTTCTCCTTGCCCCTTCTTGGCATGTGTCCTAAGCTTCTTCAACCTTCAGCCGGGGCCTTCTCTTCACTCATTGTCTAAGGAGTAGCCTCACCTCTTTCGTGATGAGGTCTCCTGTATTCTGTTTTCTTTTATGACTTACACCCTCATTTTGTTGGAGCATATCCTCTGATAGCTTCCTAAGAAATGGTCCTATTTAAATTTGACCACTTAAGAGTTGAGACTAAAAACCCAATTGCTTGGGCTTGATTACTTAAGGCTTACTTGATTGCTTAAGGCTTTACTGCAGGTTGACTCTTAGCCATTTCAATGAAGAACACCAAAATGTCAGCAGCTATAGGGTACTTTTCTTGAAATGGTCAATTCTTCTGATAACTTTCTTGATTTGGGCCATAACCCTGACTGCTACAGCCTTCTGGAAGCTGAGTGGGAAAGGAGTTAGGGAGGGGATTCGGCTTAATTTTTTATACCAAAATGCAGTTCCCACCTCCTACAGTTCTCTATGGGGCACCCTCTCCAGGGAGTAAGCTTTATGTTGGAGTAGGATGGTGGATGGCACAGTGGTGAGGAAGACTCTTGGACACCCCAGGTGACAGAGGAGATTTAGAGACTAAGTTGGACAATTAATTAATTTTTAGGTTTTTTGGAGACAAGCTGGTTTTGAACTCACTGTGTAGCCCAGGCTGGCCTCAGACTCACAGTGATCCTCCTGGCACAGCCTCCTGAGTGCTGGGATTACAGCCTGCACTGCCACGGTTGGCAGGTGGACTCTAATGGTGCAGCCAACAACACCTGTTTTAGCCTTGTCCTTTAGTCCCACTTCAGAAGCACCTGGTGCCTCCAGTTCTCAGGTGTTTCCCAGGTGGCAAGACTGCTTCTCGTCCCCTGCCTCCACTTCTCCACACCCCTTCCCACTGCAGGCACATGGGTTCAGCTTTTTAGCCTGACAAATTTATTACCAGGTGGTCACTTGCTTTGTGACCTCCCAAGTTTGCTGCTGTCTCAGATGTCTGCTGTTGTCTTCTTCCCCACTGTTTCATCTGCGGCTCCGTGCCTGCTTTATTCATTCACCCTCATTTTAGTGGGGTTGCAGGGGGCAGACACAAATTTGCTGTGTTTAAGCAGAAGTTTATTTGTTCATTTTAAAATTGAGGAAAATGAGGGCAGAGAGACCTTTACATGTGAAGAGTCAATGACAAGGAAGGATGGGGTGACATGTTTCTTGCTCCCAAGCAGTTTCCTCCTGGGTGAGGTTGGGGTGGGTCCTGGAGGACCCCCAACAGGCCCTTTTGGGGGCATCTCAAACTGAACCAATGGCAGTTATTACGGACTTAGCGATCTGATTTCGGGTACCTTCAAGCAGACATCACGGACTTAGCGATCTGATTTCGGGTACCTTCAAGCAGAGTGAGACCCTTTGCCCTCTGTGCCTCAGCTTCCTCATCCTACCATGCTGCAGGTCCCACCCCCAGGACGTGCCAGGGTCCTAAAGTCAAAGGTGGTTTTGCCATGATGACCATGGCTTCGGCTTTTCCAGGGCAGGAGCCAGTTCTTGGAGGAGACCTGGTGGAGGGCATGCATTGCTGCGGGGCTCTTTTCTTCTGCCTGTGTCTTTTGACATCTCAGGGCACAACAGCAGGTAAGACAGCTCCGCTGCAAGGACTGGCACAGTCCAGGATGTGGTTGTGGTGTGGGAGGTGAAGGCCTCAAGCCAGGGGAGGTGGGAAGGAGCCATTTTGGCCTCCAGCAGGGTAGCAGCCTTGGAGGAAAACAAGGAGTTTCAGGTTGGGTCTGGCAGGTCTTGAGTCGGGGGCAGAGGTGGCTGACGGGGAGTCTGAGTCTTATTCTGCACAGAGACAACAATGGCCACAGAGATAAAAGGGAAAGAGGTCCTGGTCTGGATGCAGAGGATGGAGAGGCAGGTGCAGGGCCGGAAATTCTCTTCTCCTGATGGGTGAGTTGGTGTTGTCCTCATCTGCACAGTCAGCTTTACCTCCCACCCCAACCCTGCCCTCAACCAGGGGCAGGTCTAGGGCTGGTCTGCTGTCGACTCAGTTGTGCATCTAGCTGGGCATAGAGGGGCATGCCTGTTATCCCAGTAGTCTGGGAGGCTGAGGCAGGCCATTGCAAAACTGAGCCCACCTTGGGCAATATAGCAAGACTGTCTCAAAATAAAAATGTCTAGGTTTGTAGTTTAGAGGTAGAATGTCCCTGGGTTCCTTCTCCAGTACCTCAGGGGTAAAAAAAAAATCCTGTGCTTGTATTCAGCATGTATTTACTGAATACATACAGTGTGCACGTATTTATTGAGTATCTACAATGTTCAGGATAACCAGTCACTGCTCTCCTGGAGTTTGTTGTCTAGGGCAGGGACCCCTAGCCTCAATGAACCTAAGTGGGCCTCTGCATTTTCCAGGGTGGGCCTTCTGCAACTGTGGCTGAACTTTCCAGGTTCTGTGACCCTAAGATCAAGCAGTTCTGGGGAGAGACCAGTACTGGTCACTGGCTGGGCTGACAAGATAACTTGCTCACTGGGTTGGGGGAGCAGTCAGGAAACACTTCCTGGAGGAAGTGACCATGAACTGGGCCTTGAACAGGTGTTAATCGGGAAAGGGGGATGGGTGGAATGGGGGAGGCCAGAGTGTGACAGAGTCTGGAGGTGGGAGTGATGGGCTGGGGTGGGGCTGGGAGGACATGTCCTCCTGGGTCCTAAGCTCCCTCTTCTGGCTCTGCCCCTGGCTCTGTGTCCTGCCTACAGCCAAGTCCATCACCTGGAGCAGAGGCTGCTGAATGCCACCTTCCATGACAACAAGCTAAACTTGCACACGAACACCATCCAGTCTCTGGTCTTCAAGCTGGGCTGCAACTTCACTGGCCTCTCCCTGAGCAGTGCTACTCAAGAGTGGGGCCCCCAGGTCAGAGGCCAGGTCATCGGGTGGCAGCTCTGCCCCACATCTTGCGGGGATTTAAAGTCCAGGCTTGGGGCTGAGGATTTAGCTCAGTGGCACAATGCCTGCCTGGCAAGTGCAAGGTCGTGAGTTTGATTCCCGGTACTGGAAAAAATAAAGTCCAGGCTTCTCTGGGCCTAGATGCCCGACCCCCAGCCCGGGCTCCTTCCAGATAGACTGGAGCCTCCTGTGCAAAATAACAGAAAGGAAGGTACTTGTGGCCCTTAAAGACAGTGTTTTCTTCCTGCCTTTGGCTACGGACAGGTCCCTGGGGGTGGGAAAGGCCAGACCCCGGCCCTTTTTAGCACCCTGGATGCCTGGTTGGTGTGGGGCTCTGCGTGGGGAGACTGCTCCTTCTTGGGGTCCCAGCTGGTAGGGAAATCACCCAGATTCCACCTAAACAATATGATGGAAAGCCTGGGTGGGGAATCTGGAGGAGAGGCTTCTGCAGTGGGTGGCTCCAGGATGGAGCTGCCCAGGGAAGCTAGGAAGATCCCAAGGTGTGGGGCTCAGCCTGCCGTGGCCCCCACAGGCCCGGGCCCCGCATGCCATGCACTTCCCTGCAGAGCTGACCCGGGACGCCTGCTCGACACCTGCCCAGCCCAGGGAGCTGCGGCTCATCTGCATCTACTTCTTTACCACCTTCTTTTTCCAGGTCAGCAGAGGGCACAGAGGAGGGCGGTGCCTATCCCTCCTGGGGCTCTGCAGGCATCCATGCACTGTGGCACCCGAGCTGGGCCTCCGTTTCCTTACTGGCTATAGAGAGGTGCAATTGCAGTCCACAGACGAGATTAAAAACCCAATTTATACCTGCCTGTGCAGGAGGCAGGCACAAGGCACAAGGTCTCAGTCCTTAGAGAACTCTCCATGTGGACACCTAAACCAGGACCCTGGAAATATAATGTTAGCGCTAGGTCAACTGTGACCATGGAGATACAAAGTGGTGGATGAGTCAGGGTGGGTTGGGGCCAGGTGGGTTTCTGGAGAAAGTGCCCTTCAGCCTTTGGCTTTGCAAGTGAGCTGGAACAGCGGTAAGGTGAGGGGATGAGGCTGGATTGCGACATACAGATTGGAGGTGGGCAGGGATGCTGAGCCAACACCACATCTAAGAAGTCTGGGACTGGCCACCTGGACATGTGGAGGCCATGCTGGCTTCTTGTTGGGGAGGAGGGGCTAGGAAGCAGGGTGCAACCTTACCCCAGGCTTCTCCACACCCCTCCACTTAACCCCTCTTCTGTGCTTCAGGATGAGAACAATTCATCCCTGCTCAATAACTATGTCCTGGGAGCTCAGCTGGACCAAAGACGCGTGAACAACCTCAGGGAGCTGGTCAACATCAGCTTCTGGCACAACCGAAGCCTGGTACTACTGGGGGCGCCCACATTTCCACCCCATCCCTGCCCCTTCTGTGGCTGTCTTGTTGACTGTTGGTTTGGCTCCAAGGTTAGACGCAGTGTTCAGATTGGTTTGACTCAGAGCCGTGGTGCTACCTTGGAAAGAAGCTGTCGTAACTCCATCACACAATGAGAATTCCCGTCAAAGAACTGAGAAAGAAGCTTTTGGTCATTGCACCCACTCACCAGGATTCTTCTGGTTGCTAGTGATAGAAAACCATCTCAAACCAGCTTAAAGCACAAAAGGGATTTTATTGGCTTACATGGGTGAAATGTCCAGCGATTGCTTTGGTTCCATCATGGTTCAGACTGTCTCCATCTCTCAGCAGTAGCTTCCTGCTTTGGTTTTCTTACTGGGGCAAGGAGGATGTTGAAGTAACAGGCTTCTTTGCCCTTTTCCCAGAAGGCTCTTCCTCACCAGTGCAAATCAGGATTCCAGGATCTTAAAGGTTCAGCTGGGTCACGTGCCTGTCCCTGAGCGAGTCTCTGCGCAGGGAGATGAGATGTGTGAATTGGCCAGGCCTGGACACATGGGGCCGAGTAGTGCATTCCCAGTAGGAGTGTGGTACAAATGCTGGCCGGTGGGTGGGCACAGGCCCGATGACCCCGCTTCTCTGTCCTTGTCATTGGAAAGCCCAGAGTGCTGTTCTGTTCTGTGTACCCTGCAGCTTCATGAGGATTGCTTCACACTCTTTTTTTTGGTACTGGGAATTAAACTCAGGGTGTTTGCACTGACAGTCATGCCCAGCCCTTTAAAAATTTTTGTATTTTGAGACAGGGTTTCACTAAGTTGCTCAGATGGGACTCAAGTGATACTGCTGCCTCAACCTCCCCATGGCTCTCTGCCTCAGCATCCCAGGGTGCTGGGAGATTATAGGCATGCACCACCAGCACTCGGCTTCTGCACTCTACTTCACCACTGTCCTTTCCTTGCAACTGCTGGGCTTTGCCACTTCAGTACCCTCTGCTGGAATGAAAATCAAATCCTCCTAGGCCATGACACCAGCTTCCACCCTGTGGTGCCCCGGTACGGCCCACGTCATTTGCCCAGCCCTCCGCCCCCAGTAGCTGTAACAGAGTCTCTGTCTCGTGCTGGGCCTGGGCCTGGATAATGTGTGCTCCCCACTGATGGGGAAGAAGGCACAGCTCCTGTGTGCAAGGCTAGTGAGGCACTTGTGATGCCCTGGTGCCTTTTGTTTCCCTCCAACTTGTGGCTTGGGGCTAAATGATCCCACTTTTCAGGTGGATAAACAGAGGTTTAGCAAAATTTGCTGACTTGCTCAAGTCCCTCTGAGAGCCTGTGGTGGAGGTGAGGCCAGTGCTTGTCAAGTGTTGACAAGGGTGCATTTGAGTCTCCTTTGGCCCGTGGGACCCCCACACCCTGATCTGTGGCCCCTCTGTGCACCCCTGGGACTAACCCTGCATCTCCCCTCAGGAAGGTTACTCTTTGACCTGCGTCTTCTGGAAGAAGGGAGCCAGCAAGCACCGCTGGGGCGCCTGGAGCCCCGAGGGCTGTCACACTGAACAGCCCTCGCCTTCCCAGGTGCTGTGCCGCTGCAACCACCTCACCTACTTCGCAGTTCTCATGGTAGGTGCGCTTCTGGCCTGGGCGAGGGGTCGGAGTCACAGAGCGCCCAGGGTCTGTGGCAGAGGGAAAAGCAAAAGCTGGTATAAGGAACAGAAAATCCAACTCAAATTGATTACACACACACCTGGCTCACGTTCCTGGAAAGGCTGGGTTAGGCTTCACGCAAGTATTGATCCAGAGGGCTGAATATTACTAAGACAGGACTTTGTTCTTCACCCGTGCTTGCCCCATGCTGACTTAACCCTCGGGCGTGATCTCCCCTCAGGATAATAATAGGACTGCCAGCAAAGCTCATCCTCGGGTAGCTTTCAGGCCAGTGGGACCAGTCTCCATTACCCGATTCTGCCGGCCAGAGCCTGGGGAGCCAGTCCTGCTGGCCTAATGTGTGTCCTATGCTCCTCTCTTGAGCCAATCTCTACAGGCAGGAAGAGGAAGGGCTCTGCGAGGTCTCTGTGCACGCACCTGTGTGCACAGAGAGTGGAGGAGGGGCGTTTGCTAGAGGGAGGGAGGATGGGAGCTGTGGAAGGTGGAGGTCACTGCTTGCCATGGCCTCAGTCAAGCTGGGCTTGGGCTGGCCTCGTGGGGAAGGGGAAGAGGAGGCCGGTGTGTCCGTCTGATGGAGCCTGGGAGGGCACCTCCGTGTTTCGGGCCTGCAGCCCCCCATCCCTCCCACAGCAAGTGTCCCCGGCTCCGGTCCCCGCAGAGTTGCTGGTGCCTCTCGAGTACATCTCCTTTGTGGGCTGCAGCGTCTCCATTGTGGCCTCGCTGCTCACCATCCTGCTGCACCTCCATGCCAGGTACTCCCTGCCTCCGGGCCGGCTTGCCCGTCTGCAGCTGCTCCACACCTTGCTTTTCCACCTGGGCTCCTGCTCAGCCCAGCAGACCAGTAGCTGCTGTTGGGTCCCTGCCCTGTCTGCCTCAGTTTCCCCATCATTGTGTGTCTGCATCCAGAGAGTGACACTGCCTGAGTGATGTCCCCAGGCCACGTTCTTTCCTGCAGGAAGCAGAACGATTCCATAAGACGCATCCATGTGAACCTGCACATCTCCGTGCTGCTGCTGAATGCCACGTTCCTCCTGAGTGCTGCGTCAGCCGTGCCCTCTGGGGCTGCGTGCATGGCACTGGCTGCTCTCCTGCACTACGCCCTGCTCAGCTGCCTCACCTGGATGGCCATTGAGGGCTTCAACCTCTACCTCCTCCTTGGCCGTGTCTACAATGTCTACATCCACCGCTACGTGCTCAAGCTCTGCGCCGTGGGCTGGGGTGAGCCAGTGCCCTCTCCTCATGCCTGCCAAGGCCTTCAGTGGACAGGGAGTTGACCCCTCATCCTCTTTTCATCAGAGTGACCCCTCTGTAAATGCAGCCATCAGCCCTTTCACACCTACCACTGCTTTCCATACTACTAGTTTCATCGATACCTTCACCTCCAGCAGCACCATCTCCACCACCATTAGATCCTTCATATCCACCTCCTCCTGTAACCCATCACCACCACTACCACTACCACATCCGCTACCTGCAGGAGCACCATCACCTCCACCTCCTCCACCTCTCCACCATAGTCACTTCCTCCACCTCCGTGACCAACCCACCATCACCACCCCCAGCCCCTCCCCACCTCCACTTCCAGCAGCATCACCATTGCCTTCATCTCCACCAGCCCACTCGGTCACTGCCATTTCCATCCCCGCCTTCGCTGTGTTCCACCATCTCCTCCACTCCGCTCCTCATTGTTGCCACGTCTCCATCGTCATGGGCACCAATGTCACCGTCTTAGCTCTTTTCTTTCCTAGTTCTTCACTAGGCTCCTCCCTCTCTCCCACGACTCCTTGCCACCATGTCCCCATTGTGACCACCGCTACTGCCATCGCCAGTCTGTCCTAGAGCTGTCACTAGAGTCACCCTGGAGAAGGGTCAGGAGAGCCTCTGGGTTCAATCCCTAATGCCACAAAAACCAAGAAGTCTCTCTCTCCAAGCCCTCCAGCTCATCGCTCTCAAGTTGGACCAAATGCCAGAGCTCAGCACGGTCTCCTTCGCCCTCCCTTGCCCAGTGCCATTCTCTGTTCCTAGGCCCAGAGACAGGGCCAACCCCCTCCAGGGCCTTCTGACCCTGTGTCCCACTCCAGGGGTCCCGGCGCTCCTGGTGCTGCTTCTCCTCGCTGTCAAGAGCTCTGTGTATGGACTCTACGTGATCCCCATCTCCCGCAGCCAGGAAAATGGCACAGGCATCCAGAACACGTCTATGTGAGTGCCCCAGCAGGGCAGAAGGGTGACCTGGGCAGGTACTGAGATGGTATCTCATAGGCAAGGCGCTGGCCAAGGGGCGGAGAGGGAGCTAAGGCTTAGATGGGGCAGCCTTCAGGAGGTTCACCCACCCCTTCTGCTGGATCCAGGTGTGTCCCACGGAGGAAGGTGGTATTCCGTGCCGACTGACTCTAGGGATCCACAGGCCAGAAGCCAGCACTTGCTAAGGCCTCTATGTCCTGGTGGCACATGGGCACCCAGTCACGCAGTGCAGTGTTGCCCTCCAGTTGTGGACTGCTGTGTGGTTTGGCCCACACCTGATGGCTCTGCCTCAGATGGATAGGTTTTGCTGGCATCTGCACAGACACAGGGCACTGCCAGGCCGCTCAGATCCTCCTGGTGGGAGAAGAGAGTGTGCTTGGGGCTGGTGCTGGGGACGGGTATGCTGTGGGGTCAGGGGCAGCACATGCAGGGCTTGGGGGAGGCAGCAGATGTGGGCCTGGGGGCGGGGCCTGACTGCTGCTTCCTCCTTTGCCCTGGGATGCCAAGCCTTTTGTTATCAGAGCACATGCCCAACCACCAGCATAAGAAACTGCATATGAAACTCTAGCCGTCAGGGCCCTTTTTGGCCAGTGCCAGCTCAGGGTGGCTGAGGGCTGCCCTGTGACGACCTGGAGATGAGCCTAGCAGCCTAGCCCTGCTTGACAGGGGGCCCTGTCATCACCCTGTTTTATAGTCAGGGCAACTGAGGAACAGACTGTTTAAGAGCCAGCCCAACGAGATCTAGGCACTCAGTCCCAAGCTGGAGCTTGGTCACAGACAGCTGACTTTAGAGCTGTGGTCCCCAACTACTGCCCCACCCAGCTTTAAGGGTCACTGAGGGCTCAGAGCCGAGTTGGGGAGGTGGAGTCAGTCTCCTTGCTGGGAGGTCGGGTTGGCGTCTCCAAGGAGGTGTGGCTTAGCACTCCTCAAAGATGCATTTTATTAGGGATCATGTGGTGTGGGCAAAAGAAGGCCTAGTGGCACATGTCTACGATCCCAGCACTGTAGGAGGCTGAGGAGACAGGAGGGTCACAAGCTTGAGCCCAATCTGGGCAACTTATGACTTAGTGAGACTCTGTCTAAAAACAAAAAAATAAAGTCTGGGGATGTAGCTCAGTGTGGAAGTCCTGGGTTCAATCCCTAGTGCCACACACAACCCCCTCCCCCGAAAAAACCCAAACGAAAAACACCCCAAACAAACACCCACCAAAATCTCTTGAGCATTATTCATCTGCCCACTGGTGGGGCACAGGATTAATAAACTGGCAGAACATTATCTAGCGATGAGAGTGAAAGATCCACACTGTGCTCGCTGACGTGGATGAATCCCAGAATGACGTTGGTGGCCCCTGTGACTGCAGGGGCTTCAAGTCCTACCTTAGTCTCTTATTAGTGTGTGTTTTGGAGCCAGAACTTCAGTTTCCTCATCTGTGTAATTGGGCTGGTGGGTACTTGCTCAAGGGTCATCGCCATGAGGGGGGACAGCCTGTGACATAAGGCACGTGAGCCGGCGTTCCACTGGGGTGAGAGGAGCACCTGTCACGGAGGCATTTGAGGGAGGGCCTAGGACCAGACCTGGGCCAGTCAGGTCTCAGGCTGTGCTGAGCCCTTGGGGACAGGGCTCCCTGCCCTGCCCCGTGTCCTGCTCTGGCATGAAGGCGCCCCTCCCCATACTGCTCGCCGTTCCGGAAGGAAGGGCGTGCTGGTCCAGTCCAGCTGGGAGAGGCTGCCATGGCGGGGATTTGGCTGCACAGAGAAGGCAGAAGGCAGGTTTCCAGGAGAGAGGGCCTGGGCCTGGGACCCAGTCGGCTGTCGCACACATTGGCATGAAGCTGGCCATGTAGAGGGTAGGAGCTGGAAACTGAAGAATCTTCAGCTGGAGAAGGTGTGGAGCCTGAGAGACGAGTGTAGCTGGAGAGCACAGGGGTGCGGTACAAGGCAGCCGATGTGGAAGGTGGCCTTGCTGGAAGGCTAGACCAAGGGCTTCACCCTGTGTACTCCTGAGCAAGGAACAACGGTCTGAGTGGCAAGGTGGGCACGTTGAAGGGGCAGGCTGCAGATGGGCACAATGGCACGTGCCTGAAATCCCTGGACTTTGAGAGACTGAGGCAGGAGAATTGCAAGTTTGAGCCCAGCCTGGGCAATTGAGTGACTTAGTGAGATTCTGTCTCAAAATAAAAAAAAAGCCTGAGGATGCAGTTCAGTGGGAAGGTCCTGGGTTCAAATCCTAATAATAACAGCAACAGCGACAAAAGAAAAACGAAAGGAAGGAAGGAAGGAAGAGAGGAAGGGAGGAGGGAAGGAAGAAAGGACAAAAGGGAGCAACCTAGGGGTACAAGTGCACTGGCTCCTGCTGGCCTGAGCGCCACCCGACCCTGGTGCTCTGCTTGTCTCACGCAGGTGCTGGGTGCGGAGCCCCGTGGTGCACGGTGTCCTAGTCATGGGCTACGGCGGCCTCACAACCCTGTTCAACCTGGTGGTGTTGGCCTGGGCGCTGGGTGTGTTGCGGAGGCTGCGGGAGCGGAAGAAGGGGCCGGGCCCCAGGGCCTGCCGGGACACGATCACTGTGCTGGGCCTCACCGTGCTATTGGGCACCACCTGGGCCTTGGCCTTCTTCTCCTTCGGTGTCTTCCTGCTGCCCCAGCTCTTCCTCTTCAGCATCTTCAACTCGCTCTATGGTAGGCAGGGCCCATGGGGCTTGTGGGGAGTCCACTGGGGTTGTAGAGGTGGCAGAGTGTTCACTGCCCAAAGAGCAAGCTCAGGGCTGCGTCCACAGCTCCACGGGCCAAGCTGGCAGAGTGTGGAGGGGGCAGCATCCAACCTGCAGGGCGGGTGGCGAGTCTCAGGTCTTGTGCCCACGTTTTCAGGGAGAGGTTCTGTGAGGTACTCCTGGGGCCCAGGGAGGCCCTGCTCATCCCAGTCGCAGAGGTCCTTGGGTTCTGGGCATGGCCCCTGGCTGATCAACAACGGGCCCACCAATCTACCTTTTCTTGCAGGTTTCTTCTTCTTCCTGTGGTTCTGCTCCCAGAGGTACCGCTCGGAAGCGGAGGCCAAGGCAAAGATGGAGGCGCTCAGCTCCTCCCAGACCATGCGCTGACCCAGGCCTCCCGGCCTGAAGCACCAGCCTTATGGAGCCTGCAGCCTGAGGCTCTGGCTCCCCCGAGAGGCTGGACACCAACACCCCCCACTACCTCCAGGGAGCCTTTGCCAGCTCCATGGCCTCCCCCCGCCTGGGCGCGACCTACTGCAGGGCAGGCCCGGCTCCACCTGGGGGCAGCACAGCTGGCCAGGCCTGTGGGCACAGCACCGCCAGAGTGCTGTTCTAGGCCTGGCTCTACATCTCACTGTGTGTCCTTGGGGCTGCCATCTCTCATGGACCCTCAGTTTCTATGTCTGAGGCATGGGGAGAAGAGGCTCTTATCCTGCCTAATTTGGCAGCTTTGTGAACCATGAATAAGATGGGGGGTATCAGTGGGGGTTCACCCTGTGACCCCCATCTGCCTGCTGGGGGCCGGATCTCTACCTATCTCCTGCAGAGGACCAGGCAGTACCTTGTCCCTGGTCCTTGCCCAGCCCTTACAGACCCAGACACCAGCCTATGCCTAAGGCCACTTTTCCTTTAACTCTGAAATGATGACAACTTCATCTCCCAGCCCACCTCCCCAATGACCGGGGAGTCCAGTCCTTCCCAGAGCTACTTCCTCCAGTGTTCCGAGAGTCCCGTGGCCGTTTAGACCAGCAGCCCAGGCCAAGGGCCTCCTCAGGGTCAGAGGGGACGCTTCTTTCCCTCCAGCTGAGCCACCCGGGCCTCAGCGACCTGGCTGAGGATGACTGGGCTGTTGGGTGGTGGGCATGAGGGTGAGGGTTCTAGGACCCAAGCTCTGGCCACTGCCGCGGAGAATCACCACCGTCCTAGACCTGGCTGGCGGAGCAAGTAATGCTCATGAGCCCATGTCTTTCCCAGGATGGACACCAGGGGGCGCTGATGGCCTGTGCGCAGAGGCATCGGCCTTATGATTGTGTCTGGAAACGCTGCCTTCACCTGTCTATGGATGTGATGCACAGTCTGTCACCCCCAGGACTGCACCAACTGGGTGACCAAAGGAGGAAACGCTAATCCTGTTTACACATCCAGTTGTCTCTTTCCCCAGTGCAGCTGCTCTCAAGGGCTGGTGCCCCGGCTGCCTGGGGCAGACTCTCAGGGACCCACCCCTGCCATCAAATAGATTTTATGAGCTTGAACCTCACAGTGAAGGAACTGGAGCTGGGTCTGTGCCCTGCCAGGGTTTCCTTTGCTCGTCTGTACATTTCTGGATGCAACAGCTCCTTAGCAGCTGGCGAATGGTGCAGGCTGTGAGGTCAGGCTGCCCGGGCTCCGGTGCCAGCTCTGCCACTTGCTAGCTGTGTCATGCAGATGAGTCACTAAATCTCTGTGTGCCTTAGTTTTCCCGTGTGTACAGTAGAGCCAGTAGTAATACCTATTCTGAAGATTCAGTAAAAGAATTCAGTACAGAATTCAGTAAAAGTATTCAGTACACGGTTATTACTATTTTGTGATAATTGTTATCAGTGTAACTGGGTCTCAGAGGCCCACTCGTCTCACCCCAAGCTCAGTTCTGTTCATCTCTCTGCTCCTGTCCCTCCAGCCTTTCTGGCCTCTGCTGTGCTAGAGGCCGTCACTGCGTCTCCTATCTCCCAGCTCCCTGGTATTGGGTCTCCTTCTCCAGCTGCCCCACAGAGAAGCCTCTTTCCCACCCTGACTCTGGGCAGTGTGATGTGAGTCCCCATCAGAGCACCTCAGGTTAAGCAGCTCCCCAGGCCTTTGGGTGGATCCCCTGACCCTGCCCAGGAGGATGCTGAGGTTTTGCAGCAACTCAGGCAACTCCCGGATTAGGTGACCGAGGTTCCCATGGCGGCTGGGTCTGCAGGCCCATGAAGCAGGGCCTCCTGAGGACTCCCAGCCTGGTCTCAAGACCCTGGCAAGCCTGAGGGAGGATGTGGCCACAATGACATGGGATAGCCTAGCGCTTCTCAGAAAGGCCCAAGCGTGTGGCCTTGACATTTATTGGGGTCCAGGCTCTGGGTGGGAACCACTTCTTGGAAATACTCTGGTGGGGTGTCAGTGGCCTCCCTTCACTTCAAACAGAGTCCTGGCCCAGGCCAGACAGGACATTGGGGCTGGCTCTTGGGGGCTTATGGGATGATGGAATGGGGTCGGTTCTGGGGACCACTGTTCAGGGAGGGCCAGGCTCCCTGCGGTGGTACTTGAAGAAGAGATGATAAGTACATGCTGAGGGGCCACTGATGAGGGGTCTCTGTGTGGTTTGTTTCTGTTATTCCAGAAAGGTACAAGCAGGGGCCCAGCTGAAAGAAGAGTTTCAAGATGTAATACAGGAAGCCCAATTTGGGTACAAACACACTAAAAATGACTTGTTGTTTCTCTGGAATTCAAATTGAACTGGGTGTCCTACACATCCTTTTTTATTTTGGCTAAGTCTGGCAGCCCCATTTGAGAAGAGCATGGTCTCAGAGCTAGGGCTATGCATTCTTTACTCTTCAGATCCACCCAACCGGTGCCAACCTGGCAGCTCTGTTACTGCCGGGTGAGCCCGCACTCACAGCCCACACAGCTGAGGCTTCTCCTTGGGTTCCCATTTCCAGCCAAGACCACCGTCAGAACCACTAGGGGTCCACCCTGGTGCTCCCAGCACCCCAACAGCACGTCCCACGAGCCTTCTCACAACCCTCCCCGCCTCTCCACTCCCAGTTCCACCCCAGAAGCCAGAGGGAATTTCCCATCCTGCAGCGCGCCATGTCCTTTACCCTCAAACCCCTTCCACACGCTCCTTCCTCACTGCCAAGCTGCTGGGGGGACCTGAAGGCCCAGGGCTCTGGTCTGTGCCCCTTCTCTTGCCTATCTGCCCCTACACTGGCCTCGTCCTTCTCCGTCCTGCCTCCTGGAACCACTTGCAGTTCCCCAAGTTGCTTCTTTCTCACCTTTGTGCTATTCTCTGCTTGGCAAACTCTCCCCGACGCCTTGCGTTTGCAGAGGGAGGATGGAGGATGACGTAGCCTTGCAGCCTCAGCTTTACACAGCCCCACTCCCCTCCAAGCTGGACCAGGACATAGTTCCTGACTCCAGATCCGGGGCAAGCCCCTTTTTCTGCTCCCTACCCCCATGACTGAAGTTATTCTTTATGTGCAACTCTCCCCATCTGTCTGTCTGCCACATTGGGAGTGTTTTGGAGGCAGGTGTTCTGTCTCATTTGCTTATTCATCCATCATATAATTGTTAGACATGTATATTTTGGGCACTGTACTAGTTACCAAGAACATATAAATGAGCAAGTCATCACATTTTAGTGTGAGTGTCATACAATAAGTAATTTAGCAAATAAACAAGATATGACAGATGGAGATGAGCTATGAAGGAGGATAAAGCAGGGTGAGGGGGAGAGTGGCAGGGGACTCTGCTGGGTTTCAGCAGAGGACACTGGTGAGAAACCCCAGGGTGCTGGGTTTGGGGGTGCAGGAGAGGGCCAGCTAGCTGGCCTGAGCTGGCCGCTGCCTAGAGAGGAGCTGGTTCAATGCTGGAGCCCCACAGCTTTTTTTCCACATGGTGCTGGTGGACCTGAGGGAGCTGGAGGTGAGGCAAAAGGAAAAGTGAGCCTCCTCTGAGATAAAGCTCTTGGGGCTGGGGTGGCCTGGGTTGGGGTACCCTGGGTTGGGGTACCCTCTGTAAGACGAAGCCAACTCAACGTGGAGGAAAGCTTCCCTGGGTTAGGCCGGGAGGATTCTACAGAGTAGAAGAAAGCAGGGAACTCCCACGAGAAACTTTCCAGTCTGGGGAGGTGGGCCTCCAGGTGTAAGGGTCAGCAGAAACGAAAGACACAATGGTGTGCACCCCCAGCAACAACAGTGAGTGGCCGCACGCTTAGAAAAATAAAAGATGCAGTCAAAGATGAGCGTACATAACAAGTAGAGGTAGAGAGAGAGAGATTGGGAAGAAAACGGAGCTTCCAGAATGAAAAACGTTATTTCAGAATCTAAAATTCACTAAACAAGAAACAGTTGAAGAGGGAATTAATGAGCCAGAAGTTATTTATAAAGAATAAGGCAAAGAGAGGTAAGAAGTTGGATCATAAGAGGAGCAATTCGGAGGTGTGAAGAGCAGAAAGAGAAGATCTCATATATTGGTGTCACAGAAGAAGGAAAATAAGGGAAATGGAAAACAGGCAATATTTGAAGATAAAATGGTATTAACTGTTCTAAGAGCGATGAAAAACAGATCCACAGAATCAGGAAACACAAAGTGTCTGAGGCGTACTATATAAAAATAAACCCATGTTTATACACATTTTATTGAAACTACAGAATGCCAAAGGCAGAGAGATGATGAAAGCCACCACTAAAAAAGGACAGATCGTCTCCAGAGGGACGACAGAACGTGAGCTGGCTTCTCCAAAGCTGTGACAGAGACTGAGAGTGGAATTATACCTTTAAAGTGAAGAGCAAATAAAGGTCAACTTAGAATTATGACCAACAAAAGATCCTTTCAAGAACCAAGACAGAAGAAAAAATACATTTCTTTTAACATTTATTGGCAAAGAATAGCTGAGAGTGGCCAAAAAATCTTCAAAAAGATGCACTTCAGGAAGGAGAATGAGTCCAGAAGGTCAGCCTGAGAGGTAAGAGGAGGGGTGAGCATAGAAAACAGAAAGTGAAGGGAAAGCCCATTAAAAATCGTCTGTATGAAATAGCAATTTCCCTTCTCTCCTCCCTCCTTCCCTTCTCTCCCTCCCTCCTTCCCTTCTCTCCCTCCCTCCTTCCCTCCCTCCTTCCTTTGCTTTCTTCCTTTCTCCTCTCCTTTCTCCCTTCCCTTCCTCTCCCTTCTTCCCTCCCTTCTCTCTTCTTTCCTCTCCTAGCCCCTTTTCTTCCTTCCCTCCTTCCTTCCACACTGGGGATTGAACCCCAGGCCTTGGGCATGTTGCAAGTGCTCTGCCACTCAGCTCCACCCCAGTCCTGAAATGACCATTTCATGTGTGATGTGACAGAAAGACAGATCTGAAATATTGGAAAAAAATAGCTTGGAAGTCGGGGAGGTAAAGACTACTACAGTGTTCTAAATCCCTTGTATTTGGAGATTAAGGAGGATGTCCAAGTATTGTTTGCCATTAGTTCTGAGGTTTGGATATGGTTTAAATGCACTTTCCAAGGGTTCGTATGTTAGAAGCTTGGTCCCCAGCATCATAATGTTGATAACTGGTAGAATCTGTAAGAGAAGAGGTCTAATAGGAGGTATCAGGTCATGGGGGTTTTGTCACCTTTGAAAGAGATTCATGTGGCTGTCATGGAACCCCAGTTAGCCCAAGAGAGTGTGTAGTTAGGAACAGAACAACTCTTTCCTCCTGTGTCTGTGCATGCACCTGTCCCTGTGACATCATCACTGTGAGACCCTCATCAGAGCCTCAGTCAACGGAGCCACCTGGTCTTCGACTTTCAGCCTCCAAAACTAGAGTGAAATAAATCTTTTCCTTTGTGAAATATCTAGACTGAGGAATTTTGTTTTAACAGTAAAAAACAGCTTAATACAATTAGATATTGTTAAATAAATATATATGGTAAAAACTTCAAGAACAACAACTAAGCAAATAAAACTAGAATTAGTATATTTTGTTCTAATGGACAGAAAAACTGATATAAGAAAAGCAAACAAAAATAACTGAATTTTTAAAAAGATAGGAAGAGAGAAAATAAACAGAGAAATTGGGACTAGTACAAATCCCAAAATAGGATAGTACAAACATCTAAATATATAAATAATTATATTAAAAATAAATGGACTCACCTATAATGCCAGCTACTCAAGAGGCCAAGGTAGGAGGATTATAAGTTTGAAACCATCCTGGACAATATAGCAAGACTCTATCTCAAAAAGTAACACACAATAAAAGGACTAGACTGAGTAGTTAAAAGGTAAGAGATACTAAGATTGAATATAAAAACACTACCCAGATATGTATCACTCAAAAGAAACACAGCTCGGGAAAAGGACATGGAAAGATAGAAAGTAAAAAAATGAATCAAAATATATGAGGGAAAACGGAATCATATGGGAACCAGTGTAGCTCTTATAGAACAAAACAGATTTGAGTACAAAATACATCAATGGACAGAGATGATCACCACATAATGATGAAGTATTTGATTAACCAGAAAGATATAATAAAGTAGCCTTAAAAGATATAAAGCAGTCCTATGGTGACACATGCCTATATTCCCAGCGGTCTGGGAGGCTGAGGCAGAAGGACTGAAAGTCCAAAAAGTTTAAAGCCTACCTGGGAAACTTAGCAAGAACCTGTCTCAAAAGAAATTCTAAAGGCCTGGAGCTCAATGCAAAGGCTTAGTTAATCCCCCCGAAGAGAGAAAAGAAAAGAAAGAAGGGATGTATAGCAAAAATTGAACAAAAAAGGAACTAAAAAGAAAACCTGAAGTATTAGAGAGCTATCCAACCTCCATAGATTGCAAGAGCCACTATTGTTAAGA